CGCAACAGTTTCACAGGCTTTGCTCGCATAATGCATATGTTTAAGTGATAGCATCTTTTCAGATGGGAGAAGCTGGGTGGGCAAAGAAGGCTCAGCATGAACAGGCTTAACCACTAGGGCTCCCATTCACAAATCTGCTTTGACCTTTTGCATGCTTTTTTTTTCACTATATTCATCCTTTTTTTCTCACCCTCATTAGCCACTCTCAGAAGCCTAGACCTCTCAGTCAGGAGGCAAAATAACATGGAATTGAAGAAAAAAATACAACATTAATAAGCAGTTTTCTAAAAACACTTTATATCTGCAATCTAAATTAGCACCGGCGATGTCTGATTGTATGTATTTCATTGTGATCTACATAGAAACTTTAAGGGGAAAAAAAATAAGTAATTAATTACTAATAAAGAAAATATATATATATATATATATATATATACTGTATATGTATATAATATCTTAAGGATTTTGTAAACAAACCTTTTCCTAGCCAATCCCAGAGATAGTTTCTGAGTAGAGGGTAAGATAGTCAGCCAGCAGCTTTGTATTTGATAATATTGTAATTGGAACACATTGCTGAATGTATTCATTTTCCCCAATATAAGACAGTACCTTGTAAATAAAAAGGGATTTATATCTCCTGCTTTTAATTTTCACTTTTTGTCAAAGCTTTGTAGTGCAGATCATTCAGAGCCTTGTCACACTTAAGATCTGGTCATAATGGTGAATATTTTTTCTGCCCTCTATAGTGATCCTGTCATTGACGAGTTGTTGGCAAGATCATGGGCTTCCTTGCCTGAGCTCCTCTTCATTCAGAATGCAACCAATCAAAATAGCTTGAGCTTGAAATTACACAATTCATGGCACTGTTTAAGAGCCAAGTAGAGTGTAATGAGTTACAGGCACTCCAACACGCTCTTCTAACTGCTTTGCTGTGAAAGCATAATGTGACAAAGTCAATGGCAATGTTTTTGGACTTTGTAGGGTTCCTTCATCAGTGCAAAATAATGAAGTCACTGATAAAGGTGACTTACTATTTTCTACAGGATCCTACATTTGACATGTGCCCAACTCAAGCCAGTGAACTACAGTAATGAGTGTAGCACATGCTCACATACACCTGCAAAGGTTTTTAAAATATGTGAAAATATGTTGTCAACCATGAGCATTTTCTCTTGGAGCCAATCAGATGTTGACAATCAGGAAGAAAGCTCCATAATTTTGGTATTGGCAGGCAGATTTCCTACCTAGAATTGCTATAGATAGGCCAGCTTGCTTGACCATGGCAAACCTTGGTTTCTGTTGCACATTTTTTGGTTTGGGAAGGATAACATGATCACCAAAATACAGTATACCCAGTCTTCCCACAGCTGTGTTAAATTATAGGACAACTCCAGACATTTTTATTTTTTTTTTTTTTTTGCATAGTAGGTAAGTGTTAGATCCTTGGTCGAGTATTTTTTTGCCATTTGTGCAGCCTTTGGGGAGATTTCCATTGTTTCCTGAATGATCACCTTAACAGAGTGAGCAAAATCTCTCCTGCGGTGGGACATTTAATAATAAACCTTTTTTTTTTTCAATTAACGTAGACAAGAGAACTGTAAGATCCCTGGAAGTTTACATAACTGTCTGTGTCCTGACTAGGGAAATCTCATAATTTCCTATGTGGTCATCAAGACAGGAAGAATGAATGATAAAATCTTCCCAACATGCACACAGACAGCAATAAAACCTGACAGGTTCTCATTCTACGTGATTCTAACCAAAACCAAAAAATATGTTTTGGCTGGAACGGAATTTTCAAAATCACAACAACATCAACAATAATAATAATGATGATGATAATAATAGTAGTAACCTAATCCAAGCCACATATGAGCTCAGTCCATGCTTTTCTCCTGTCAGCATCTGACCTATATTACAGAGTATACCTTCATGTGAAGCAATGTAACCTAATAAGGGTTTATGGAATTAGGACTTCATCTTGGGAAAAAGAGCGTTATTATCTTTCCAAAATCTGATTTGGCCATAAAATTTTCTTGGATGAAGAATTTTCCAGTTTCATTCACTTATTCATTCCCTTGTGTATATTTGCATTTGACAGAATGGTGCTTAAATAATGATTGATTAAGGAATAGCCAACAAACACAATGTACTTTTGTTTTTGTGAGTCAAATGTTTTTGGCCGGCATGACTTCATGTGTAATGTCTTAAATAATTATTGAACATACAGGAATGACTGTTTTTTTCTGAATATGATTTTAGTTGAGGAAAAACGTAATGGCTCTAGCATAGAAATAACATTGCATCATTTTTTTGTGCTGATGGTAAACCATCAACATTGTGAAAACATGCTGAGGTCCTCTTTGGTATCAAAGGTCAGAGGGAAAATTAATAGTTATTTTGCATTATAGAAACAAAATATATACATATGTTATAATATTGTTTCTAGGTATAGAGCAGGCATGCTAACTTTCACAAAGGAGACAGAGGATACAAATGATACAAAAATGCAAACACCACTTCCAATATCTAAATATATATATATTTTAAAAATATGTTTTATTAATAATTTCTAATATGCCAGAAAATGTGGCATATCAGATGTAAACACCATATACTATATATATATATATATATATATATTATATAAAATGCAGTCCAATAATAATTTCCAACATACTGGAAAATCTCTAAATCCACAGTCCACATTATTTATTTATTATATTTTATTACATCACTGCTTCCATACTACAGTAAAACAAGAGTTAAATTGGAAACAAAATGTTCCCGTTAATGATGACAGATTAGCTTGTGTAAGGCCTGCTTGTGCAAAGGGTTTTCAATTAGTAGCATGGTTATCAAGGACATTCTCCAGGGTAACATTTAACTTATCAGCTTATCAATAAATTAGTTGATGCAACTCATCTGAAATACGACTTTTACTATGCAAAAGTATAAATCTTTCCACTTGTGCTCATTAGGGGATATTATGAATTAACACATTTACTTAGCTATTTTGAGATTATGCATCCAAGGACGCATGATATAGAAAGTTTGAGAAGCTGAAATGCAAATATACAATAAAGAACCCGACCAAGTAGGCTATTGGATGTCATTTTCCAGCATGTGTGTAGCTCTATATCTTCTGCTTAAACTGGTTGTAAACCCTTACATATACTCAGTAAAGTGACTGGCCTTAGGTGATACCCAAAGATGAAACAAATCCTCCTACTTAAGTTGTACCTGTCTATCTGTGGTCTTCTCTTCTTTACATCCATTCAAAGTGCTGAATTTATAAAGCTTGTCTGAGAGTTCAGAAAAAATGGGGCGGGGAGATCAAATTACACACAGCAGAGCTCAGTGAGAAGAGCTCTGAGAGCTCATTGGAAGGAAGAGACACACCCCTCTACACAGATCACAGAAACAAAACCGAGGCTGTCAATCTGCTGGAGGTCTCTTCCCTGTCACCATTTATCTCTTGGTGTCAGGAAAACTTGTCAGAAGTGACTAGCAGAGCAACAAAGCAGCAGGCAGAAATGACACTTATTGCTCTGGACTGAGACAAGTACACACTATAGAGGGATATGCTTTGTTCATATTTAATGTCTGAGGTTTGAGGTGGTTAAACTCATTTTCCTATGATTTTTCAAAATCAGTGCTGATTTTCTTGATGCCAATATTCAGTATGTTACAAAAGGTTTGTGCTTTTTCTAGTTTGTGGTAACCTTTCTTAGAATGTTGCCTTGCACAGATCTCCCATTCTCCACACAGCTAATGGGCAGAAATTTTTTTCCCAAGAAAATCCCCCCCTTAGGCTACGTTCACACTAGCCTCCTGCTTTTGGTCTATTTATATGCAGAAAAATTTGTCTGCATAGTATAAACCGTCTTTATGTTTTCCAGGACAATCCTTTAATGTTTAACCACTTGCCCTCCGGAAGATTTACCCTCCTTCATGACAAGGCCATTTTTTGCGATATGGCGCTGTGTCACTTTAACTGATAATTGCCCAGTCATGCAACGCTGTACATAAATTAAATTTATATAATTGTTTTCCCCACAATTAGAGCTTTCTTTTGATGGTATTTGATCAACCCTGCATATTTTTTTTTTTTTTGCGCTACAAAGACTGACAATTTTGAAAAAAAAAACAATATTTTTGACTTTTTACTATAAAACATGTCCAATAAAAAAAAAAAAAAAAAAAACAATTTCTTCATAAATTTATGATGAAATTTACAAAATGTATTCTGCTACATGTCTGTGGAAAAAAAAATCCCAATAAGTGTATATTACTTGGTTTACATGAAAGTTATAGTGTCTACAAATGGCGATATATATACCAAAAAATTTTTTTTAATAGTAATGGCGATGATAAGCGTCTTATGGCGAGACTGTGGGTCTGCCGTGGGCACTCTGACACTAACTGATACTGGGTGGGAACTGACTGTCAGTGACATCCCCAGTGACACTAATACAGTAATCAGTGCTATTAAAAAGCACTGACACTGTACTAATGGCACTCGGCAGGAAGGGGTTAAAGTCTAATATTTAAAAAAAATGTGATCTGGCAGGCTGTTTATTGCAGAAGAAACATGCAATGTCTCTTCTTCAATTATAAACACCCACCTGCCTTCTCATAGTCTTCTGTAGAAAAAACACTGAGCTGCACATGTGCAGCTAAGTTTACATTCCAGCACAGATCCTGTGTGGCGGGATGATTATACGTCTGCACATACGCAGGAGTGACATCATCCCACACCTGCCAATCAAAGTGGCCAAAGATTGGCACCCAGAAAACGTCAGCACCAGCAAGGGAGCTCTATGGTGTTGGACTGTTGAACCAAAGGTTGGTATTGTGGAGTTTAGTCCTGCTTTAAATGTACTTTGTGTTTACATGTGTTTGGATGCACAAAATTCTATTTTCTTTAACCACTTCCCGTCCGACCCATGTATATAAAACCGGCCATCCAGGAGCAGTGCAGGGTCGAGTGGCCGTTTATAAACAGCCTCCTTGCTCCCTGCTTGTGCTCGCTCCCTGGGAGTGTACAGTACCGCTATCCGCTGCCCGCTGTGGAACACCGATCATTGTACGGGACCTCTGTGTGAGGTCCCGATAATGTGATCACTGATTGGCCAATCAGTGATCACATAAAGAGTAGTAAGCAAGATTTCACTTCTGACATCATTGCTTACTACGTGTGAAATCACATGGTATAAGGCTATTTACAACAGTCTTGTACCATGTGACAGGCTGTGACCAATCACAGCTCACACAGTATTTTCAATGGCTGCAAGAATGCAGCCAGAGAGAAGGAGAAATGATTGCTTTTACAGCCTTTATGGGTGTAAAAGCAATCAGTGTAAAAAAAAAAAAAAAAATCTTCATCACCCCCCACAAGTAGTACAGTGTCAGTATGGTTACACTAATCTTGCTCTTGACAGTATGTAAAAAAAACCCATAAATAATAATATAAAAAATAAAATAAAAATGTAAAAAAAATGTGGAAAAATTATAATTTTTGGTTATAAACTAATTTGTGTTTTTTTTTTTTACTAAAAAGATAACTGAATACATTTTGTCCAAGATTTATGAAGAAAGATTATTTATTTGCAAAATTTTATAAGAAAAACACGTTTTTTCCAAATGTTTGGACTTTTTCATTTATATAGCAAAAAAAAAATTTAAATCCCAGTGGTGAATAAATACCACTGAAATAAAGTTTTATCTGTCTCAAAAAAAATGCTAAAAAAAAATTCATATGGGTACAGTGTTGCATGACCGCGCAATTGTCATTCAAAGTGTGATAGCACTGAAAGCTGAAAATTGGCCTGGACAGGAAGGGGGTGAAAGTGTCCGGACTTGAAGTAGTTAAATACAACTAAACTGGATGCAGCTGAATACATTTAAATACAAAGTGGATTATAATGATAAAAATAATTTTATAAATGTAGAAATGTCCTACATGGTTTGACAATGCCAGTGTGAACAAGGCCGTAAAAAGGTTATTATTATTTCAGGTACTTATATAGCACCCTCAATTTACGCAGCGCTTTACATATATATTGTACATTCACATCAGTCCTTGAACTTCAAGGACCTTATACAGAAAAGTAGCGATTGCCATTCAGAGCTGTACACTTACAACTTAGCCCTGGTTCACACTGGTGCGACTTCTGGTGCGACATGCGATTTACAAATCGCACCTGAAGTCGCATCTAATGTATTTCTATTGTCTTAACCACTTGCCCTCCCCCCTATAGCAGAAGTACTGCTACAGGGTGGCAGGGCTGCGCTGTGATTTAAAGTAGTGCAAATCCACAAATAGTTCTTGCACTACTTTTTTTCTGATTTCATTGAGACTTATATTGGTTTCTGTTAAATGAAGTTGCAAGTCAGTGAAATCAGAGGTACAAATTGCAACGATCTGCAACTTTGAGTGAAGTAGTGCGATTTCAACGTTGCATTCAGTTTGAACTAGGGCTTAGAGCTTGCTCTCTTGTTTTTAGCAGTCACCTTGTGCATTGAAGCCTGCATTCACTCATTACAATAAAGTCTTACAGTCTGTTTTCTTTAAAAAGCAGCACCAACCTAAGTAAAAAAAAAACCTTTCCCCAAGCAGCATGCTGGAGAGAAGGGCCCTTGCTCTCTGTGTGGAATCAGTAGTCTCTCTGCAGAGGTCTGATATTCTCTATGCTGTTTAACACCTTCCTGCCTTGCCTATAGCAGATTGACGGCCGGGCGGAACACTCCTAGTTGTGACTGGGTGTCATATGATGTCCTGTAAAAACGAATCACGGCTGTGCAGCTGCGTGATCTGTCACCTGTTGTGTCCACGGGACACAACCAATGACATATCACTACACCGGCTTATTGCCAGTGTCTTGTAACCGCTGTGACCAATCACAACAGATCACATGTCAATTGTATACAGTGGATGACTTCCTGTCATGCCATCCATTGTATACAATTATGTTGTTAGCTGTGACTGGTCAAAGCAGTCACATGATACAGACAGGGCCAATCACATCCCATCTGCATCATGTGATGAGCTTTGCCCAGTCACAGCTAATCACAACAAAAGACTGAATGAATCAGTTTCATTCAGCAACAGTGATTGCAAATATCAATGAAATACATTGGTATTAGCAATCATAATGTGTTAAAAAATAAAAATTAGAAAGAAATACCAATTAAATTATTATTATTATTTGAATTTTTTTAACATACTGTCACCAGTCTCTGATCACCTCCACATCAGTTATATAATAACGCTGTACTGGACTGGTGACAATATGCAAAAAAAAAAAAAAATTTTTTTTTTTTCATTTCTACATTTTCCAAAAAATTATGATTAAAAAACTCACCATCCTCTTACTAAATACCTTGAATTGTCTATTTTCCAATAATAGGTGATTTGGGGGGTATTTGTACTATCCTGGCATTTTCTGGCCTCAAGAAATGAGATGGGCTGTCAGTACATCAGGACTGATCAATTATATATATATATATATATATATATATATATGAAAATACCACAAATTAGTGTATATTATTTAGTCTGTATATATATATAATATATATATCTACAGACTAAATAATATACACTAATTTGTGGTATTTTCACCAAAGAAATGTAGTAGAATACATTTGGACCTAAATTTATGAAGAAATGTTATTTATTTGCAAAATTTTAAACAAAAGCAAAGAAAATGCATTTTTCTTCAAAAGTTTCAGGTTTTTTTTTGGTTTATTTAGCAAAAAAAAAAAACTCAGCAGTGATTACGTACCACCAATAGAAAGCTCTATTTGTGTGGAAAAAAAAATTCATATGGGTACAGTGTTGCATGACCGCACAATTGTCATTCAAAGGGTGACAGCGCTGAAAGCTGAAAATTGGCCTAGGCAGGAAGGGGGTAAAAGTGTCCGGTATTGAAGTGGTTAATAAAACCAAGTAAACTGTTGAAATACTTTCAAATGATATTTGTCAAGTCATCAAATGTACTACATACTAATGTATGGTCAGTTTAAGATTTTAGTGATTTTCACTTCTTCTCAGTGACACGTGTGAAAGGGTGAGTTGGCAGTCCATAGAAAATTAATAGACTGCCTTAATATAATATGCGTTATTGTGTGTGAGTGTGTGTGTGCACCAAACTAATGTGTACAGTTCTAGATCCGGTTTCCTCCTTTGATCATTGTTCTCTTATCCATCACAGAAACAATCTTTGGATCTGTATTTCTCCCTTCATGCTCCGCTGCTAGACCTCAGCTGAAGTATGTACCAGCCTTCATTTCATTACAGCACATCTGTTCTAATGCAAAGCAAATGACTTTTCTTCAATGACTTCCAAATAGACAAATGATGTGGACTGGAGTGGTTGGTTCAAGGGATGATTTTACAGCTTTTTTAGATATATATGGGAATTGAATCGCTTGCTATAAACATTTTTTTTTCAGTTATTAGGAGCAAACAAAGGGCAAGTTTACTGTCTTACACACTTTAGGAGGGCCAGTGGCCCACTATTGCCAGTGGATGTTGAAAATGCTTGGTGGTCAGTGGGAGTAAAAAAATGACAGTAGAAGGAGGAATAGTGCCCCATCATTTGTATTAGTAGAAGGAATAGTGTCCCATCATTGTTATTAGTGGAAGAAATAATGCCCCATCATTGGTATCAGTGGAAGGAATAGTGCCCCATCGTTGGCATTAGTAGAAGGACTAGTGCCCCATCATTGTATTAGTGGATGGAATAGTGCCGCATCATTGGTATTAGTAGAATGAATAGTATCCCATTGTTGTTATTAGTGGAAGAAATAATGCCCCATCATTGGTATCAGAGGAAGGAATAGTGCCCCATCGTTGGCATCAGTAGAAGGTCTAGTGCCCCATTAATGTATTAGTGAGAGGAATAGTGCCCCGTTATTGGTATTAGTGCAATGACTAGTGCCCCATTATTGGTGTCAGTGGAAGAAATAGTGCCCTATTGTAGTGTCAGGGCGAGAAATAGTGCCCCATCATTGGTACCAGTGACAGGAATAGTACCCCATCATTGTTGTCAGTGGCAAGAATAGCGCCCCATCATTTGTGTCAGTGGAAGGAATAGCGCCCCATCATTTGTGTCAGTGGAAGGAATAGTGCCCTATCATTGGTATCAGTGGAAGGAATAGTGCCCCATCGTTGGCATCAGTAGAAGGACTAGTGCCCATCATTGTATTAGTGAGTGGAATAGTGATGCATCATTGGTATTAGTAGAAGGAATAGTGTTTCATCGTTGTTATTAGTGGGAGGAATAGTGTCCCATCATTGGTATCAGTGGAAGGAATAGTGCCCCGTCATTGGTATCAGTGGAAGGAATAGTGCACCATCATTGGTATCAGTGGAAGGAATAGTGCCCCATCATTGGTATCAGTGGGAGGACTAGTGCCCCATCATTGGTATCAGTGGAAGGAATAGTGCCCCATCATTGGTATCAGTGGAAGGAATAGTGCCCCATCATTGGTATCAGTGGAAGGAATAGTGCCCCATCATTGGTATCAGTGGAAGGAATAGTGCCCCATCGTAGGCATCAGTAGAAGTTCTAGTGCCCCATTATTGTATTAGTGAGCGGAATAGTGCCCCGTTATTGGTATTAGTGCAATGACTAATGCCCCATTATTGGTATCAGTGGAAGAAATAGTGCCCTATTGTAGTGTCAGTGGGAGGAATAGTGCCCCATCATTGGTACCAGTGACATGAATAGTATCCCATCATTTTTGTCAGTGGCAGGAATAACGCCCCATCATTTGTGTCAGTGGAAGGAATAGTGCCCTATCATTGGTGTCAGTGGAAGGAATAGTACCCCATCGTTTGCATCAGTAGAAGGACTAGTGCCCCATCATTGTATTAGTGAGTGGAATAGTGCCCCGTTATTGGTATTAGTGCAATAAATAGTGCCCCGCTATTGGTATTAGTGGAATGAATCGTGCCCCATTATTGGTGTCAGTGGCAGGAATAGCACCCCATCATTTGTGTCAGTTGAAGATATAGTGCCCCATCATTGGTGTCAGGGGGAGGAATAGTGCTCTATCTTTGATGTCAGCATAGTGTTCCAATGTTTACATGAGCCTGAGAAGTATGGCCCATCGTTGGTGTCAGTGGAAGGAATAGGGCCTCACTGTTGTCATCAATGAGAGGACTTATGCCCCACTGTTGGTGTCGGAGGAAAGAATGGTGGCTGATGTCAGTGGAAGGAAATAATGACTCGTATCAATGAGAGGAATTGTTCTCCAAGGGCTGGATAAAGGCAAACAAAGGGCCACAGTTTGGAGTCCACTGATTTAATGTATATGTAAATTCAGTCATTAAAATCTCATATATACGCTTTAATATGGAAAATTAGGCCAACGTAGCACTTCCAAGTGACTCACCACTTCTTAATCCTTGTCCATTTTTATTAAAATAAAGTGTCACAGAACCTCAAAGAGGGTTACCTTCACAGGGGTTTTCAGCATTTCTCTTTGCTTAACGTAAGCCTTCTGGCTATCTCTACACATTATCATGCTCTTGCTGCTCCATTGTAGCCACATGGACTCCTTGGGGAGGGAGGAGCGCTCAACTATTGCAGGTACCCAACTCATAAAGGCTGTGCACATGTTACCAATCAGGATGTTGGTTACTGGTAAAACACGCACCCAGGATTGGAGGCATCCTTTCCAATTCTCTTCAAAGCCTCTGGTCTCCAGGAGCCAGTCCAGATTCTTCTGTGGCAAACACACATCATGGGAGTCCTTCAACGTGTGTGGGTTAGAGTGCTTATTAACTCTTTTCACACAAGGTGTTGTACTGTCACACATGTTAATGTATGTTAAAAAAACGTTCATTTATTTATTTTTTTGCAGCTTTCATTAAAATATTATCTCATGATGCTACCATGAGCATCCATGTCTTCCAGTTGTATTTCTGCATTGTCATCCTGTCATGTGGCTGGTTCAACACGCATTATGCAGATATAAGAGAAATGCTATGCATCCTTCACTAGGGTGCATTTATGTAGACAGAAAGAGGCTGCAAAGACATTGTAGGAGAGCAGCACCAATTAAATGAAAAAAAATTATAAAAAAGGCTAAAACAATTATTTAATACAAATGCTTATCCCTATACAGTGCTCTGCCAAACTCAAAGAGGAATTATGGTTAGTTTTAAAAAAAAAAATTAAAGTCATCAGCTACAAATACTGTAGCTGCTGACTTTAAAAAGCAGGTACATACTAGTTTAGGAGTCCAGTACTATCTTCACCTAGTCTGGGATCACTGGCACCACCATCTCGAGTGTGGGAGCTGGCTGTGATTTCCTGCTGCTTCACAGCCAGCTCCTTACCACGCACGTGGAAGATCATACTGCGCTTTCACACTGTTCCCGCCCAGCCCCTTGGGACATGTGATGTCTCCCAGGAGGTTGCGGGCAAGGGGCTGACCTTCTGCAATTTTTGCCAAGGCAAGAATTTAGGAGGTGGGAGCTGGTGCCTGTCAGAAAAAAAAAGTCGCCAAGGACGGTGGGGGGAGGGAGGAGGATGAGCGGAACTTCACTTTTAAGTGAAGGTCCGTCTTTAAGATAATTTAGCCAGGATTTGCATCTTAGGCCTCATGCACAATGGGCACTTTGGCCTTCTCTCCCAGATGCAGTGGTGTTGTGATGCTTGTAAATGTGTATGATGCGCTTCGGCATGTTTAGGTGCATCAAGCCATTTTATTGGCTAGAATATTAATTTTCTCTGGCCATTAAAATGAATTAATGCTCAAGCGCTAAAAACACCTAGCATTAACTGACAATTAGATGCATTTACAAGCATCAAACGTTTTTTTCTGCTACTCCTGGACGCACTGGCAGTGTTTTGTTTTTCTGACTCTAAATGCCCCTGCCTGTAAACCCCTCTAAATGCCTATGTGTGTATAAACATACACTCACCAGCCAATTTATTAGGTACACCTTGCTAGTACCAGGTTGGACCCCTGTTTGCCTTCAGAACTGCCTTAATTCTTCGTGGAATAGATTCAATGTGTTGGAAACATTCCTCAGAGATTTTGGTCCATATTGATATGAGTTACTGTTGCCTTCCTGTCATCTTGAACCAGTCTGCCCATTCTCCTCTGACCTCTGACATCATCAAAGCATTTTTGTCCACACAACTGTCGCTCACTGGATATTTTTCTCTTTTTCGGACCATTCTCTGTAAACCCTAGAGATGGTTGTGCATGAAATTCCCAGTAGATCAGCAGTTTTTGAAATACTCAGGCAACCTCGTCTGGCACCAACAACCATACCACGTTCAAAGTCACCTAACCACTTCCCGTGTACATAAATGGCAGGAGCAGGTGGCCTTTTATAAACGGCCTGTGCGCGCTCCTTGGGAGCGTGCAGCACCTCGATCCGGTGCCCACTGTGAACACCAATCGCTGTACGGGACCTCTGTGTGAGGTCCTGATCATGTGATCACTGATTGGCCAATCAGTGATCATATGAATAGTAGTAAGCAAGATGTCACTTGTTGACATCATTACTTACTACTAGTGCAATCTGTGAATGATCACAGATGTCACATGGTACAAGGCTGTTCACAACAGCCTTGTACCATATGACAAGCTGTGACCAATCACAGCTCTCACAGTATTTCTCAATGGCTGTAAGAATGCAGCCAGAGAGAAGGAGAAATGATTGCTTTTACAGCCTTTATGGGTGTAAAAGCAAGCAAGCAGTGTAAAAAAAAATAAAAAATCATCACCCCCACAAGTAGCACAGTGTCACTATGGTGACACTGTACTACTAGGGTGACAGTATGTTAAAACCCCCCCATAAATAATAATATAAAAAAATAAAATAAAAATGTAAATAGTTTTTTTGAAAAAATAATAATGTATAATAATAATTTTTAAATATAATAATAATTTATCATAAATAATAAACAATAATAATAATAAAAAAAATAATAATAATATAATTTTTGGTTACACACTAATTGGGTTCTTTTTTTTTTTACTAAAAAGATAGCTGAATACATTTTGGCCAAGATTTATGAAGAAATATTATTTATTTGCAAAATGTAATAAGAAAAATACTTTTTTTTCAAACTGTTTGGACTTTCATTCATATAGTAAAAAAATAAAAATCCCAGTGGTGAATAAATACCACCAAACTAAAGTTTTATCTGTCTCAAAAAAATTCTAAAAATTCATATGGGTACAGTGTTGCATGACTGCGCAATTGTCATTCAAAGTATGATAGCACTGAAAGCTGAAAATTGGCCTGGACAGGAAGGGGGTGAAAGTGTCCAGACTTGCAGTGGTTAAATTCCCTTTTTCCCCATACTGATGCTCGGTTTGAACTTCACTACGTCTACATGCCTAAATGCATTGAGTTGCTGCCATGTGATTGGCTGATTACCAACTTGTGTTACTAAACAATTGAACAAGGTGTACCTAATAAAGTGGCTGTTGAGTGTATTGGGTAACATGCAGGGCTGCTTACAAGCAGAAAAAATCCCACCAGAAGCCCCGAAGAGCAGCGTAAAAAATGCCCAGTGTGCATGAGGCCTATCTGTTTCCAATTAATATTTAATACTGAAGGAAAAAGAGTAACATAAATAAATCCAAGGGAAAGAGTTATACCCCATAGGGCCCTCCTAATCCTCTTGTATTAAATTGTATTGTAACTGCACTGTCTCTCTTTATTTTGTACAGCACCATGCAAATTGTTGACATTTTAAAATCCTGTATAAAAATGATAATATATATATAGGACTAACACAGCATAGGTGATGGTAAACATTTTCAAAACAAACTCTAAAATAGTGTAACAAAGTTTATTCCTTAAACTAAAAATTATATTAACAACAAATTAATGTATTGCACGTTCAGGCAGAGTTCATATACAAAAGAACCAGATTGATAAAGATTAATTTCACCTATTTGCATTGTGTTGAATGTTAACGTGTTGCGGTAAGGCAGCCTAATCATTTTAATCACCACAAGGGACCTACATCTTTTTTCTGTGGTTCATCTATGTGTGTTGTGGTGCACTAAAACATAGGTCTGTTGGGAATGTGCATTGGCGTGTTGGAGATGGGCATTGGGGTGGTACTGCGGAACACACCAAGTTCACATATTACCAAACGTTGCAATAATAAAAAAAGAAAAGGGGGCCACCTTAACGCAACACATTTAATATGCAAGCAAGCTTTAACACAAGGCCCCAGATTGGATGTGTAAAGGTGAAAACACTGCTTGTGTTGTACTTTGGTGAACTGACCCCTACTGTAATTTATTAACCCGCAGTGGTCAGGCAGTTAGTAAGGATGTTGACTGAACTGTCTGACACACAGCTAGCCCCTAGAGGGTGCACCTATAAATCTATCCATACGTAGAAATGAAACGATAAAGTAGCAAGGATGTCAAAATGTGAAAGCCATTTCAAAATGTACTTTCAGATAAACTAAATGTTTACTCCAAATAATACATGTTGGATTCCATGTACTCCCATTAGCACAATGTCTAGTCAATGAAGTCACTTTGTCACATCTGCTATTTTGAAAGATAGAAATACTGACAAGAATGTACAACAGATGTTATAATCTCTTCTACAATAAATAAATATAAATGTGTAGGATGGTATAAACATAAGGCTATTTTATGTGTTAAAAATAAAAACAAAATAAACTCAAAAGAAAATGCTTTATTTATATGTTTTATAAAGCAATTTGAAAATGACATCAATTGGCACAAGAAATGCTGTTTATGTTTGTAAAAATTCAATCGTATACATAAAATAATAGCAGTGTTTAGTAGTAAATACTGTCAGTCTGACAGCCATTTGTTGCTGGAGCACAATGACATAGGAAAGAAATGTGTGTGTGTGTATGATAAAAACATGTTTGGATATGTGTGCAGATATTTATACATACATATATTCATGAATATACAAAAACACACATTGTCAAGATGCAGGTCCTTCATCCAATGGCCTAGAATGAGATACTGTGAGAGTGACATACTGTATATATATATATATATATATATATATATATATATATATATATATATACAGTATCTCACCAAAGTGAGTACACCCCTCACATTTTTGTAAATATTTAAGTGTTCTTGCATGGCAAGACCACTTACTGTTATCTCACATATATATTCTTATTATTATAGCCAAATTTACCACCCTAACTCCTCCCACAGTTTTTACACTACATAGACAGTAATATACTGAAACGTGCGGATTGTTCCCGATTGGTGTGCTATTACTTTGTGGAACGTTTTGCCGAATGGTTCACAAAATATTGGGGTTTTTGTGGTGAAATTGGTCCCATAGGAATGAATGGCGGAATGTTCAAAACTAGAGTGTGAGCTGAAAAATCAGGACATGATTTCTAAACTGCCATCACTCCCTCATTTTCAAGCCCACCTACACAAATCTTATATCAAACCGTTCAGCTACCCCTGCTGCCACTAAAAATGCCCACAGCTAAGCCATAGTCCTGATAGTTTTCACAATATGACCATTTGTTTGCAACTCACGCCACACATTGATATTCATTAAAACTCCACTCTAGCCACCTCAAATTTGAAGGGCAATATCTAAACTGCAACTGTGCCTTCATTTTTAATATTTCAGAGACATACTATGCATCAAAATGTAGGTCCGGGTCTTGTGATTCTCACAATATAAAGCTCTTCGGTGTAGGATTTATAATTTTTAAACTACAGCCGTTTGAAGATGGCAACCACCAGTGAAGTGAGCAAGTTGGAGCAGTTTGTTTTTAACCGCTCTTCTCTGCCCTTGCTGTAGAGTGAGTTGTCATAGGAACCCAGGTGTGTGAGCAGGCAGCAGAGTGACAAGCCACTCCACCCAGTTACTCCACCCACTCTAGTTGTAGACTACTGGTGGAGGCAAGAACACTTCACACAATTTCCCCAGAAATTGTAGCTTTTCTAGTTTATTATATCTTTTCATGTGACAACACTGAAGAAATGACACTTTGCTACAATGTAAAGTAGTGAGTATACAGATTGTAGAAGGCACCAATGTACACTGCAGCTGATAAACTCACATTTAGGAGCTTTTCTGCATTTTTTTTCAGCAGCCCCTGAACTCTCCCTAATGTTTCCCTATGTGTCCATGTACACTATGTCGTTTACAGTCGTTTACAGGCAGCTGAGTTTACAGTTGTTTTTGAACGCACCAAACTTGCGTTCAGGAGTAAATTGTATCAGAGTTTCAAACGCCAAACGCTTGTAAACGCGTTTATAAGCATTTGCGTTTGGACATTTTTTTAACTCTTCCATTTCCAGATGCTGTTCAGAGCCCTTTTTCATCATGAAAAATGTATGCAAAGTGTTTTCCCGGTACTCAAATGGACCTGGTATACCATACTTTGAGGTTTCGCATGAAAGAAATATGTTAGACACTGCTACAATAATTTCTGCACAGAAATGAGCTGGAACACATCCAAACACCACAAAAAAAAGACAGCTACTCTCAACAAATACTGCTCTCTCTGCTTCTGCTATCTCTATTTTCTCAAAATGTCTGAAATAGTTAATTTGTTACTGTTTTTCAGTGTATTCTGGGCATTTTGGAAGGTCTCCTGAGGTTATCTTTAAAAAACACTTCTAAATGCAAACGCTCATAAACGCGGTATGTAAACACGGCTAAACAGACATTTTTTAACCTACGTTTTCCATCAGTCAGTTTCCATCGTTCAGAAGTGTCCCGTGTACATGGAGCCGAACAGTGTAAATTTGCTGTCCCCTCAAAATAACTCAACACACAGCCATTAATGTCTAAACTGCTAGCAACAAAAGTGAGTACACCCCTAAGTGAAAATGTTCAAATTGGGCCCAATTAGCCATTTTACCTTTCCGGTGTCATGTGACTAGTTAATGTTGTGAATGGGAAGCAGGTGTGTTAAATTTGGTGGTATTGCTCTCACTCTCTCATACTGGTCACTGGAAGTTCAACATGGCACCTCATGTTCTCTAACATCCACCAGCTCCGTGATGTCATCATGGAGGAGTGGAAGAGGACTCTATTAGCAACCTGTGAAGCTCTGGTGAACTCCATGCCCAAGAGGGTTAAGGCAGTGATGGAAAATAATGGTGGCCACACAAAATTTTGACACTTTGGGCCCAATTTGGACATTTTCACTAAGGGGTGTACTCACTTTTGTTTGCAGCGGTTTAGACTTTAATAGCTGTGTGTTGAGTTATTTTGAGCGGACAGCAAATTTACACTGTTATACAAGCTGTACACTCACTACTTTACATTGTAGCAAAGTGTCTGTTCTTCAGTGTTGTCACATGATGAAAAGATAGAATAAAATATTTACAAAAAAGTGAGGGGTGTACTCACTTCTGTGAGATACTGTATATATATATATATATATATATATATATATATATATACAGTGGGGATCGAAAGTTTGGGCATCCCAGCTAAAAATTTGTATTAATGTGCATAAAGAAGCCAAGGAAAGATGGAAAAATCTCCAAAAGGCATCAAATTACAGATTAGACATTCTTATAATATGTCAACAAAAGTTAGATTTTATTTCCATCATTTACACTTTCAAAATAACAGAAAACAAAAAAATGGCGTCTGCAAAA